TTACTGTAATCAACGGCCAACTCTGGTCTGTAACTACTCTCCCCACATGTTAAACGTAAGACAACATGCATTTTTAAATTTGAGCTCTTGTGAGATATTTTTCAGTGATAAGAAATTAGAACAGAAAATTTTAATTTAAATAGAATATTTATTAAATTCTTTCAGTACTTTTAAGAACATAAATTTTTTAAATTTTGAATGACTTGAACTAAACTGAGGCTCATGCAGATGGGTGTCAAAATGATACGGACGCTTCTGTACTAACTCTATTTAAGCAATTTTTAAACAGCAAATGTTTTGGATGATTTTACAAGAAAAAAAAATATTGGCGCATTTTGAAAGATCATGCGTGAAGCTGTTAGAAATAGTGTTCGCTCTACCCATGCAAAATTTGCACCTCCCAAAAAAGCATAGGAAATAAGAGCTTACTTCGTAAATGAAATTTGCTTCAACCGAAAAGAGGGGTGGAAGTTCATAAAATTTCTTTCTATTTTTGATTCCAGCAGTTTTGAAATTATTTTATAGGACTGCAATATTTTTTATAAGAATGCTTTTAGAATTCTAATGTTATTAAGATGCAATGAAGCTTTACATTCTCGTTCTCATTTTGGTCGATGCAAATTTTGCATAGTTAAAAAGAACACTATTACTAAACGTTACAAGTATGATTTTTTAAATTTTGCCATATGAAACATTTGCTGCTAAAAATATTTACATAGAGTTAGTACAGAAATATCCGTATTGTTTTGTAACTCAATATCTGTATATGCAACGCCTACAACGAAAGCCACCATCCTGTTTCTTAAGGTAATCTGATTAAACCTCTATGAAGAAGGTCAAAGTAAATTGTAGATCACTTCACTGCTTCACTCTAGCCATGACCGCTACACTACGCCTTAGGCAGCGCAACGGTCATTAAATAATGAATAGATTATTGTTCTGCAATTTCAACGACCATCTATAAAATATATGAATTGAATATATTTATATTATTTATTTACTGGTGAAAACAATGTACTTAAAGTTTAATTCAAAGGATTCAAAATAGGCGTTACTTTCTGCTTTCTCATATCAGAAAATAGCGCCTCCCCTCAATATGATCCAATTCTGTTTTTACTTTTTAACACGTTCACGCCGGGGTGACCCACCGGTGGTTCACGCTAGATTGTCTCATCTTGGCAGCGCACTGGAGTAAAAACTGGTAACAATAAATTTCATTTTTTAGTTTTTTTCTCCCGGAATAATAAAAATCCGTAACTACCAATTGTTTTTAACGGATGCAATTTTTATATGGAATTGCTTCTTCGCCGTGATAAATTTCCTTACAGTGAATTGTTACTGTTGAGAATAGTTTAACTCCTCCCGAATATTATCTAATATTGAAATAGTTCTTCTACCACTACCAATATTTTCACTTTTCCCGGAGTGAGCATGTTAAACTTCTCTGAAGAAAAAAAAAATTTAGCCTATTAACACTTCCGAAAAAGCGAATTCCGATTGAAAAATTTAGTCAGGTAGTACACTGACAAGCGCAACCTTAAACCCTTCATACTAGTTCCTAGTTTCAAATGCAAGCGCCTGCCGCTATCGCAGCACGGATTTTCGAATATAATTTCAGTCTGATTGAAATAAAAATCGGTGATTGAGATAATGTAAAAAAAAAAAAATTAAAATTGTAAAAAAATTTAACAAAAAAGTAAAATGAATAAAATAAAGTTAAATGAAATCTTTAGCCTGGAAGTTTTGATTAATCCGTTTTGTCCCGAATTTATATGTTGAAATGATACAAAAAGTGGTTTTATGGAAGAAGTGGTAAAATATTTTATCGAAATTAATTGGTTTTTCTACATTTAGAGCATTCAAAAAGCCTTTGATAGATCAAGAAGTACTTGCTCTTTATAATTCTAGATCTACTCAGAAATAACTAAATCATCGTGGTATCTGAGAATCTCTTAATTCACCCAGATAAATGAAAATACTGAAAAAGGTTTTCCACCGCAATGAATGCCTTTAAAAAAAGGAACTGTCCTAAATATATGACGCTGGGCGTTAACCGGTTAAGCTAACGTATTCTGTTTCCCCAGCTGACGCGAACTTCGGCTGGATTGCTAGGATCATTGCTTACAAAATCCCGTGAATTTACAGCTTCAAGTAGCTTCCGATCAAATAAAAGAAGTTATTGGGTTCCATTCTTTGTTATAATTGATGAGTTTGATGTCCAGTATCCGTTTGAGGTTTGCCGCTTCACTATTGCTGGCCTCCTTATAAAATTTTGCCTTAAGTTTTTGAATAAAATCACTCGCTTTATTGATGTAGAGATCTTCGTGGATATTTTCAATGGTTGTAAATTTTGGAGCATTAATTATTTGTCTTAGAATTTCAGTTAATGTAGTATCTGTGATGTTAATTAAACGCTTGGTTGCAGTTGCCCAGGCAGGTGATGCATGAGTCATTATAGCTCTTATATAAAGCATATGCATGAGCCTCTTGTTATATAGACTGAACGTTGATCTTCTATTTAGGAGTGGAAAAAGATGGAAGTGATTCTTGCTTTTCGAACACTTTCCTTTACATTGTCATGCTAAGTTTGTTTTCATTTATGATAATGCCGAGATATTTGGTTTAACTAGTAAGATTTCTTCAATAAAACATTTTGGGTTTAGAGTTATCGGGACTGCTAATTTGTGTCTTCTTGTGATTAAAAAACTTTATTTGTTGCCATTAGCTTTAATTTACACATTGCTACACCAGTCTTCGATATTAGTGATACTATTTCGTAATTTTTGTCCAGCAGGATACAGCTTTCCTGATTGGCATAAAAGGGCTGTATCGTCTACATTCTATGCCGCTATTTCATCAGTGCTAACATCTCTAGGGAAATCACGTGTATAAATGAGATGGAGAATAGAGTGAGGGAAAAAGATTTTTCGGAGTAGAAACAATATATGTGACATATCTGTGAAACAATATCTGTGAAACAGTGACAGTAGCAGTAAAATTTGATATAGTGAAATTTCTCACAGTGAAAGTATTAGTTAAATTTGTTACAGTGTGAAAATGTTGTTGAAATTAGAAACGTCATAATCATTAGAAAGAAGACAAAGAAGTTTGCGTTCAGCTTCGCAACGTATTGACCAAGGTAATCAATACAAGAATATTTGAACTTGTGGACTTCTCACTGTTTCGGTGGGAGATTGAATATTTAGAGCGGTAGTAAATTTATGCTTTGCTATTTTATTCTTGATTAATTAAATTAAATTTTACATTGATTTCAATTCCCATTAAGGGTAAACATTTAAATCAAATCTATAAAACTTGCCGAGTAATAGACATGATTGAAGTTCAGTGAAAATCTAAGTATAAGCATATTTTGTACTTCGCTAACCGTCTATTTTCCGCGCAGAGCGAGCTTTATTAGGATTTAGTAATTAACAATGTTCTAAATGAACGGTTCAGCTTTTGTGGTTTTCTTTAGAATTTAGCTTCGCTTATGGCCAGTCACAAAAAATGCTTATATCAGAAATCAAATACTGAAAAAATGTGAATACTTTGTACTGCTACCTACTACTTTCAACCTCTTCGAGACGGACGAGTCATATATGCATTCTCAAGGTGTCGATAATCAGGGTTAAATAGATAAAACTGGTATCCGAACTATTTTTATTGCAGTTTATTTGTGGCCAGGGTAATAATAGCATACCTGCCAACTTTTATTCCTTTCAAGGATGATTTTCCCCAGTGGTACTAAATTTAAATTTAAAATACAATTTTAGGCAGTAGCATTCGCTGTATTTTGAACAAGCTTATGCGGATTACTGCATTCGTTCGTTCGTTGTTGTAGAACTGGGCATCTGAGGCCTAAATGGTCCTTTTCCCATTCATCTTGAAATATCCCATGACGGGAACATACATAGGAAAGATGTGATGTAGGCTCGGAATAAAACCTGAAATGAGATAAAAATTAAAGAAAGGAATCATGTGAGGTGTGGCAGGCATATTAAAATATATGCTTACTTTTTTTAAAAATAGTGGTGGAATAAAAGTATTATAAATTAAGTTTATAAATGCAAGGAATATATAGAAAGCATATATTTTACTACCACTTTCAATATAGAAATAAAATTTTACGCTAAATGCGTAAAAGTTGGCAGGTATGTAATAGTTTTCTTTATTTTATTCACCACAATTTAGTTCGAATTAAAAATTTTATAGTTACTCTTTTAACAAATAAGGATTGGATGATGTGTTAGATATAAAACGAAAGCACAAATAAGTCTGCCAAATTAACTATGCCCAAACTTAACCGGTTAACGCCCAGCGTCATATATATAGGGCAGTTCCTTTTTTCAAAGACATTCATTGCGGTGGGAAACTTTTTTCAGTATTTTCAATCTGGGTGAGTTAAAAGATTCTCAGATACCACAATGATTTAGTTATTTCTGATTATATCTAGAATTATAAGGAACAAGTATTCTTTGATCCATCAATGACTGTTTGTATGCACTAACAGTAGAAAAACCAATTAATTTCGATAATATATTATACCACTTTTTCCACAAAACCACTTTTTGTATCATTTCAATAAATAAATTCGGGACAAAACGGGTTAAGCTACCGCTTTTTTTTTTTTTTTTTTTACTATCCGGATACTGATTCCTTACGAATACAATTAGGACTCGCCTGTCCCGAAAAGGTCAAAATACCTAGACTTTGGAACCTAATATATCTATATAACATTAAATGACAGTAAGTAATTAATAATTCTAGGATTTTATTTCAAAATTAAGAATGCAGTACATTATAAATTAAATTTTTTGTAAAATGCGTTGCAGGTGTTGTGTTAATTTAAGATTTTAAGTGGATTTTTTTATTAAAGCTGCGAAATTTTTTTCATTGTTTCTTATATTTTTTAATTAATTTCAGAGGTGATTCAAAATATAACAAATGAAGTGATAGCTTTTCCGAATAAAGAAGATTTGTCTGGAGCCGCTGCAGCCTTAATCCGACTCCAAGAAATTTATCTACTAGACGCTGCTACACTTGCTGGAGGACACATAAAAGGAACAATTCCATCCAGTAATCTTACAGGTGAGAATTTAATAAAAATTCTAAAGTAATATGAATTATCATTATTTCAGTTCAAACACTCTGAGCTTTCGATTTTTATTATTAAAATTGCTCTGCACTAAGCAGAATGCGGGTTATAAGATGATAATTATTATTTAGTCAAAATTTTATTTCAATTTATTTATTATACGAAAGTCTTTAAAGATAAAAATGCCCTTGTTTTGGATTCTTAATTTTGATTTGTTTTTAACACGTTGAATACCACGCTAATTTTACATGGCTTGCCTGTCTAGACACAACGGTTAATAACTACAAACTAAAATTTGCAAACATTGGACAGATTTTGCTAGTTTTTCAAAAGGTTTAGCATGACGTATCTGAAAGATGTGGTGAATCATATAGTCCTACGAATTGTTTAGAAATAATGGTGGATAAAAATCTATTAAATTGAATTCATTAAAGCAAGAATCACAATTAATAAACTACCACTTGAAAATATTTATCCGCTGTCTGGAGCAAGTTGGCATCCCTGTGTATATAATTAAAACTATTTTTGTGTGTTCTATATTGCATTAATTTCTTCAAATCATTTTAGTAGCGATAATAATACAAAAAAAAAAATTTACTCGAATTATGTGTTTCTAATAATCTTGGCTTCACCGGTCACCCCAGTAGTGCTACGAACAAACTCAGTGTCGGTGACCCTAAGGCTCCTATACTATCAGAGCTGACCTATCAAGCAATTTTGGAGCAAACATGTTCGCAAGTTAACGTTATTTTAGTATTCGTTATGTTATTACAGAGATGCCAACTGCTGCGGACACGCCAAACTAATTTAAAAAACGGTAAATAACTACAAAATAAATTTTGCAAGTAGTTGACAATATTTGCTTGCTTTTAAAAATGTTAAGCATGTTGTAAGTACTGCAAAGTGGTGAATTATATAAGCCTACGCATTGTTTAGAAATAGTGGTGGATTAAAATCTACTAAATCGAACTTAAGAAACCAAGAATTACAATTAATAAACTACCACTTGAAAATATTTATTCGATGTGCTTATGTTAGCTCGTTGCTCCAACAATAAATGATAAGTCGGCCTGTCTAATTCAGGGGCTCTAGGTGACCCCTATGGCATTCAACGTGTTAAAGAATACTTCAATTCTATTTCTATAAATATCTTTTACATACTGTACTTTAATTTATTCATTCGATATTTCTTAATTTCATTGTTAATGATTGGATCCAGGACTCAGTCTTGATGGATTGAGTGGGTGACCTCAAATATGGTAATTCTTTCGTACAGACAATATTTTAAATTACGAAATCAGACACGAAAACGTACTTTTTCTGAATAAACATACCCTTTTTTCGATTGATTTGAACTTTTTAAAAATACGACTTTTTTAATCTTCAATTTCGCAGGAAACATTCAACCGTTTTCGCTCAAATTTTGTAATTTGCCTTTTAAAACTACATTCTTTAGAAGTCATTACTTTGAACTTCTGATATAGCATGATGGTTGTATTTTGTTCATTCACTTGCCTTAATGAGGTTATGAAAAAGAAATATTGTGCAAGTTATCACTCCTAAAGTTTTTTTTTTTATCTGAAGAAAATTTCTATGTTCGAGATCATTTCATTAAAAGTGAAATATAAGTATGTCTTAAGGGGTTTTATTTAAAGAAGGCAACATTACTCAAAATTTATGCTTTGCTATATTATTGGTGCATCGCTGCCTAGTTAGCCATGCATTCCTTTGGATGGGGCACTGTTGCTTTTCAGATTTAAGTTCTGTCAAAGTTAATGAAAAGTTTAATTTTGAGCGTTTTTCTGCCCTAAAAATCTTAGCAAAGCAATAGCAGCTCAATAATCTCTTTAAGAACTACGAAATTTTTACGATTAGGACAAGTACCGTGACCCAGGAATTTCCTGAGTTATCGACACTTTCAGTAGAAATAGTCATTCGATCATTTTAAAAATAGTGAAATCCGCTTTGTTCTATTTAGCTTATCTCAAAGCGTCATCGTCGCTCAAAAACACTACCCATACTAACTTGTAAATAAAAGTATCTACTAACAGATGGAAAATAAAAATTATTGGGTCCTTGTGTCTCATTTTTAAGAAAAAAACCCTCCCAAGTTGCATATAAAAGCTATATTATAAATCGCATTACTCCTCTTTTTTGAGATTATGAAGATGAATCATTATAATAAATATCAAAATATATTAATTGCTGGAAATTAAAAAAATATAGAAATTTTTTTAATAAAAGGAACACTAGTGTCCCATCTGCATCAAAGGTAATGAAATTTTCTGTTACCATTTTGCTCAAAAAAGGCTTAAAATAAGGCTCGACGCAACCTTTAATGCACGGGCTTGTTGACTTCAAAAACTACTTACAAAACAATCTAAAAGACTTAAATCACGCAATCTAGGGATTCTAATCACGACCAGAAACTAGAGAATATACAACCAGGAACTGTTTCTCTTAGTAATTGGTTTGCTTCATGGGCTTTCAACAATTAAAAACGCGTTGTTCTAAATTTGAGTGCTGCATTTTTGCTAACCCTAAATTGTCAGCCGTCTAACTGTTTACTTTTTCTGGTTGTCAACATTAAATAATTAATTTTCGATTTAAATTAAATTTCGAGTAAATTTTTTCTCACCCTTCATACGATAATTTGGTCTTGATACTAGTGGTCAACTTACATGAGTGGTTAACTTGACAGTTTTCTCTGTATAACAACTTTATTAAAAGTGAATTTTCAATTATTCCGAAAATAAGTGAATCACCAAAAACATTTCTTGACATCCTAAATTCGAAATTATTTTTGTTACTTACTTATTAATTCTTTTTATTTTTGCTTATCACAGCTGGAGACTGCTTTGAGCTCGGGAAACACGCCTATTCACAGGCAAATTGGAACCGTTCTATCCTGTGGATGGAAGAATCATTGCTGCGGCTGGAATTGGAAGAGAACCTTCAACCGATAAAAACTGCCGATAAAGCTGACATTTATGAATACATGGCTTTTTCGCATTTTTCTGTTAGTACTCTTCCATTTCCTTTATTTTTATACCCTGGTTATAAGCGATTTGAGCTTTGTAGAAGTAATCTTACTTAGGCTATGCATTTTACAAAAGTTGTTTACAATGAACATTTTCTGGTGCAGTACTGCCATCACCTCCTACATCAGAAAGTCTCCACTCGGTTTCTTATAAGTAGTCTGCGCAGATTGTTTAAAAAGCGAACCACTTGTGCGCATAAACCCAAATTCTATTTCAAAAGTTTCGTTCGTTCGTTGTAGTGGAACTGGGCGTCTGAGGCCTTACGGCTCTTTTCTCATTTATCCTGAAATTAAACTAGGAAACATACATGACAAAATTAAAGTTTGGGGAGCAAAATGGAGCTCTTGAGAGAAGAGTATTTTAAAAGTCATCATCATCGAAATATATCTAGGCGCCTGGGGCCGTTAGCGGCCTTTTTCCTATTCGTCTTGTATTGTTGTCTGTAAGGTGGTTCTTTCTGGTAATTGGAATAAAAGGAAATTAAATATTTTGTATTTCAGTTAAAATTACGTCACTACAAAAATGAACTGCATTTTAAAAGTACTTGAGAGAAATTTATCATATATATTTGAGAATTGAATCTGCAGTGGTTGACAAATAAATAAAACAAACCAATAAAATTCATAAATTAAACTAATTTTTAGACATATATTTGCTACTGCTTTCTAATTTTTAACCCCTTGGGGACGGGTGATTCAGAAAAGCATTCGTACAAAATCGGGATCAGGACGTAATTAAATAAAAAACGGTATCTTAAATGTAGTCGTTTCTAATTTGACAGACTTACTTTGCTTTTACTTTAATTATTGTTAGTTTAATCATATATATAATCAATGTTAATTCTAAGTTTAACTAAACAGTTTTATTTTGAGCAAAGTAATGGTGAATTAAATAAATCAAGCAATTATAACTCTGCCCACAAATAAACTGCTAAAGAATTACTTTGATTACCAGTTTTATCTTTTTACCCTGATTGATACAGTTTTATGCTGGCACGTATTTGTGACAGTCGGCCCGAAAGGGTTAATAGATTTTATGTTAAATGGTTCTTTAACTAATTGGTCTAACTTCATAGTGGTCTGATCGGACTACCTACAAAAGACCGTGTGGAGGCGTTGGTATTGCCCGTCTGGTAACACTAATTCAACAAATGTTACAATCCACTAGAAATGTAAAACCAATTGCTTTTTAAACTTTTAGTAACCATTATTCTTTTAGATTACGGCCCCAGGCGCCCAGATAAGTATTGATGATGATGATGATGGTTCTTTTAGCTTACAACATAAACTCCATGAAGTGGAAATTTGGTGCGCAAAATGGAGAATCAAGCTTCATCCTGATAAGAGCAATTTAATCATCAACTGCTCCTCTTTTTGAAAATTATTTTATTAAATTATAGAGTAATAAACTATCATATTTTCAAGTTTAATTTTATAAACTTTTAAAAGCTCAGTGGCGAAAGACAACCATTGTTGCTCATCAAAGTTAAGTCAAGGCCAATTGCCCCTAGAAAAGGAAAATAGAGCTCCAATAAGATTTTGTCTTTATATCCCACATTAAAGCCTTAGGGCCTTTACCAAATACTTGAAAAAGTATGCAGTCATCCAAGATGATGCCTGCCCAGATAATTATACAACCGTTCCTATAATGCTTTAACTTCCGGATACTGATATGTCGACAGCGAGTCTTATATTAACGCGTTAGCGCCGGGGTAACCCACCGGTGGGTCACGCCAGATTGTCTTATCTTGGCAGAGCACCGAAGTAAAAACTAGTAACAAATAAATTTCATTTTTTAGTTTTTTCCCGAGAATAATAAAAATCTATAACTACCAATTGTTTTTAACGGATGCAGTTTTTATATTGAATTGCTTCTTTGTCGTGATAAATTACATCGACACCATTACAGGCGCCCTCGGGCACTTTGTGTACTACTCCAGTTCAAGTTTTTCGTGATAAATTTCCTTGCAGTGAATTGTTATTGTTGAGAATAGATTAACTCCTCCCGAATATTATCTAATATTGAAATAGTTCTTCTACTAGTATTTTATCTTTTCCCGTACCAGTATTTTCACTTTTTTCGGCGTGAACGTGTTAACCGCTTAACGCCCAGCGTCATATATTTAGGACAGTTCCTTTTTTCAAAGACATTCATTGTGGTGGAAAACTTTTTTCACTATTTTCATTTATCTGGGGGAAATAAAAGACTCTCAGATACCACATTGATATAGGTATTTCTGATTAGATCTAGAATTATAAGGAGCAAGTACTTTTTGATCTATCAAAGACTTTTTGAATGCTCTAACTATAGAAAAAAAATTAATATCGATAATATATTTTACCACTTTTTGTATCATTTCAATATATATATTCGGGACAAAACGGGTTAAAGTATGAAACATTTGAAGTTGGTATTTGCTGCCTGTTTTTCACTACCTTAATTTTTTTGTTGCTTGGAAGAGTTTTTACTACATTTTACATACTTGGAATGACTTTTGAACAAATTATATGTTTATAAAGTTATCTAAACGAATTAACATAGTTGTTTAAAAAACCTTTTAATTGAGAATGAATTTTTATTTGCAGTTAGACAACATCAATGCTGCTGCCGAGTTTACAGAAAAGTTAATCCAGGTCGGTAAGTATGACACAAACTTGGTTCTTTATATATATATTAGAGATGGGTCGAAAGTAACG